CGTTTGCCCTCTGACCTTTCCTCAGAGAGGGAATCTCAGCTCGACATTCACAACTTTTGAAATGGCTTCCAATTGAAAACTTTTCATTTGACATTTTTTAGTTGAGCAGTTAGTTATATGGCGGTATAGATTATGTTTCTTATTTTTCAACAAGTTATATGAAAATACACTAATTTTTGTAGAAATGTGTCCTGTCTGTGTACTTAGGGAGTTTCTCCGAAACATCTTAACATCTTTAATGGAACATTTTTCATTTATTTTTGATATTAATATTAAATAGCGTCGACATCAAAACATGTAGCGTTTGATGTTCTAAATTATTCATGTTTCGAAATAAGGAATGTAATTTTCCGCTGTTACAGACATGTTACTTATAAAATCATAGTAGAATATCAACTAGATCTAGTGGTAGGTAAAAAACATAACTTTTAAACCCGTGGGTCTACTCGCATGGTTATAGGTAATAAAGTAGGCTATACAATTCTCCCGCCTATTAGTTATCTTTAGTTAGTAGTTATATTTAAAATGCATATCATAAATCATTGTTGCGACGTGGAGGAATGACAAACAAACTTTCATTTTTATAATGTTATCAGTAAGGATTTTGTACGCACAGTCTTATATGTAGGTAGATACATACATAAACCCGAGTATGTTACTGACAGCCTCCAATTTCAGGCTCTTCGATTAAATTACAATACATCACAATATCGTAAAAAGAAAATCTGCTATCACTATGAGGTCCAACGTAGTAAGTTTCAAAAGAAATATGTCTTATAACGACCCTATTTTCTAGTTAATGGTCAACGTTTTAAATAAAATCCTAAGTCAATATCTATTCAGGGTTCCATTACAACTTTTTCTTTGGTACTTCAATTATATCTTGCCGACATAAAATGTAATATAGTATCGTATATATTTTTGAATAGGTTGATATTATAAGCCGACTTAAGCATAAATATTGAACACTTAAAGGCTAGATTTTTGTTCTATTTTCGTTACATATTTATCAAGTAGCTAAGTATATGGTATTATTGGAAATTGCTTTTAGTTTTCTGTAACCTCAGACTAGGTATTCAAGATCTATAAATTGATTTACAGTTTACACAGTTCAATCGTTTGTATTGAAAATTGAATGGTTTTATGTTTGTTTTTTGGTAAACAGTTTTGACAGATCGACTTAAAGTTTACATTGATTTTCACATTTAACTCGTCGAGTACCGTATTTATAGACACAATTAAAGAACAATAGGTTGCGGTCACCAGTGCCCGCTTGGTGTTTGACAGTTTAAAGCAATGAATCAAAAGACAAAAAATATTGATTCAAAAATCTAGTCTGACAGCGGCAATATTTTCCCCTCACTAGCAAATAAATCAACGTTTCAGGTGTAAATACAAGTCTACAATAAAACTTAAAACAAAACGTCTCGGTGAGAAATTTTGTGAAAACATCGCTATAAATTCTCTCTAAAATTTTACATTGTAAAAAGAAAACTTATGAAGTACTTTAACTACGTCACTTACAGTTTGTAAACAACGATTTGTTTAACAAATTAACAATAACAGTCAAGTTTTAAGGCTTCTGAACTTTCAGCCTTGCGGTGAAGTTGTAGACGTATAGAGATTCTTACGATTTGTTTATTGAGGCCACACACATAACGAATAATCGTGGGATTATTGACTATGCGCATGCGTCAAACTGTTTATTCAGAAACATATTTCCTTTTAAAATGAAGTGAATTAGTCAATGGATATATGCAAGGTAATTAATTCCGTGACGTATGCACTGATAAGGATATTATTATAGTTCCATACATAAGGTATTTTTGATGTCGTAACGTTATCCCGTGATAAAAATATGACGTTTTGTTTATACATATGTAAAGTACCGTTTTGGTGTGTGATGTGACGCGCGGACAGGAAAAACATGATTTAAATTACGCGTATGTTGGTCATAAAAACTTTTGTGAACCGGTTCTACTCATGGTTGCAGTTTTGTAACTGACTATTAATACAAATAAAAAAAAATTCAGTTTTGTTACGAAGGACCACATTTTGATAGCATTTTGGTCCTAAGATACATTATATTCTATAAACATACTTATCTACCAATAAACATTATCGCAATGCATAACAGTATGCAAATAACTGTAGAAGGCGACAGACAGTACGGACAGGTGCGCGTGCGCCGCTCCCCTGTTTCTCACGGGGCATTGGCACACGTGGTCAACAGCACACTATTACAAGGGGGATGCTTTTACTATTGGAATACATATTTACTGCTTTAGCAAATTATCTTTTTCTAATTATTTCTTAATAAACATTTGGTAGGATGAATTTTATGTATTGTCTATGTTTATCAAAATTAAACAATCACGTGAAAGTGAAAATACACGAATCATATTCGAAAATGCCTGCTTTTTACATTATTTAAAAAATACCTGTCATAGTAATTGTCACTCTCTATTTAACCGTAATTCGACAGAATACCAAAAAAGATTTAAATAAAAATGCAGAAATATGCAAATAACTGTAGTATGCAGCCGGGCAGGTGCGCCTGCGCCGCCCCCTAGTTCCCACGCGTATGCGCAGCAGCGTGTGTCGAACACAGTTCGCACATGTGGACTTTATTAACGTTTATATAACTGACTTAATTTAATTATTCCTTTTACTTTCACTCGGGACTCGACTTTTGTTCATTTTATTTCGCAACGGTTTTTAATCACGAAGATTATAGTTATTTATCACTGTGAATTTAAGTGTGGGAAAGCCATGCTTCGGCACGAATGGACCGGCTTGACCGGAGTGATACCACGGCCGAGCACAAAACCGACGTGAAGCAACGCTTGCGTTGTGTTTCGTCGTGTGACTGAGGTTACCGGAGGATCCTCAAAAGGCCGGTAACGCACATGTAACGCCTCTGGTGTTTCGCGTGTTCATGGGCGACGCCGATTGCTTACCATCAGGTGATCCGTCTGCTCGTTTACCGGCTTATGCCATAAAAATGTATTAAGAGAAGAATATGTGGGAAATAAATTGTCTATACTTCAAATCAAACTCATATAAATGTTCTCGTATGGGAATTGAGAATCTTCAGGCTCACATCAAATTAGCGACTCGTGTGGTTTTAGCTTTTAGGTAGACATGAGATTGGCATTAATAGTTCAGTAGAGATATTTAAGACATCGAGGGAGTGAAGCTTACTGTACTGTGCAGTTCATTTAATAGGATAGTAGACTAATATTTAAGACATCGAGGGAGTGAAGCTTACTGTACTGTGCAGTTAATTTAATAGGATAGTAGACAATTTTTTTTTAATGTCTGTCTCGTAGATTATTTTAAAACATTGGACACGTATTTTTTTCTTTTCTTACAACATTAAATACTTTCAACGATAAATTAATTTGAAATATCCTGGGACGTCACGATTTACTACATTTTACTGGGTAGCGGGACGTAAGTACCTCCCGCTCCTAAACTTTACGTTTTATCTAAGTATTGTTGTCTTAAGCGACAAGATAAAAAATATGTGTCTAATATTTTACAAATTATGATTATTTATGTGACGGACTAATTACATTTTTAATTTTCATACTGTCTACAACCCTATTAGTTGCAAAATGAAGTTAGTAAAACCTGCTTGTAATTATTCTTAGTACTTATTAGGTCACTCAACTTATTCATTAGATCACTTAAGTCCTTGCGTAGGTAGTAGGCAATGTCCATGGAAATGATGTGTCATATAACGCCATTAATATAAACAACTATTAGCTCATGTTATCATTGGTAATATTTATAGAATATTTCGCCATCACGCGACTCGATGCCCGCGTGAAGCACTTCAACTGAAGTTTATTATCTCTAGTGGCACAGCTATACTATTAATAGTGAAAGTAAACATATGCACTATTCAAATATATAACTGTGAATTTTACACACATACATACATATATACATCCACACAGTTATTTAATTTGTGAACTTGGCCACTATTGTATAATACTACATAACATCACGCCTTTTATTCCCGAAGGGGTAGGCAAAGATGCACATTACAGCACTTAATGCCACTGCACAATGCAGGCACTATTGCCATATACCGAGCACAATTCCAGACTCCGTGCTACCACTGAGATCTTTTTCTAAAACCCCAGTAGTACTTTGACCGACACGGGAATCGAACCACAGACCCCTTTCCCGGTAGTCGCACTTGCGACCACTTTTACAATAAGACACTTTTGAAAATCAAACAATAAAAAATAGGTATAAGTGTCTGTCAGTCGGTCAGTCCCCTAATGAAGCTATATGCTCGATTTAAGTATAAGGATTCATAAAGAGAAGAGCGACTAAGACTTTTCATCATTACATAGATAATAATATATACCTTTGTAGTTTAATAGTTGTCATAGTTTCATGATTTAGTTATTAGCGTATATCATTAAGTAAATGATTTACTGGTTAATGTAGCAAATATTAGCTGACCTTACAAGATTACAGAGGCTGGCAGGCTGATTTTAATCTCATAATTAGGGCCAAGGTAGCTGATTACTTCTTCTTAGAAAGATGTTGGTCCTTGTACACGGCTCATGTTCGAAGGTAAATGTTAGAGTTTCAGGAAACATGGAAACTTGCTTCATTAGGGATTGAATCAGGTACCATGTTGTTACATCGCCCACGGTATTATAGTACCGCATGATGACTCTGTAAGGACAAGTAAAACCTCAGATATTACATATCTACATTTTGTATATGTATAATTTAGTTGAGATAACATAAGGATCACTCGTTGATCTTTTGGACTTATGCCATTTGGTTTTCTCTCTAATGACTTAGTTAGGGTTTATTTTATCTATCTGCATCTACGACATCATTTGTATGGTTTTTATATTACAATGAAACATCAACATAAACTTTTAATACATCTTCATACCCACATACATAATACATGAAACTTTTAATAATATTATAAAAAAGTAATTATCTATCTAAAATTGCCGCAGTATTAAATTGACTGCACGGTTGGTGCGGTGGCTGGGCAACCGGCTGCCATGCAGTGTTGCCGGGTTCGATTCTCACACAGAACAACTATTCGTGTGATCCACAAATTGTTGTTTCGGGTCTGGGTGTGATGTATATGTGAATTTGTATGTTTGTAAACGCACTCACGACACAGGAGAAAATCCTAACGTACGGTAACGTTTTTTTTTAAATAAGTACCGTATCCAGTGTGTAATTTACAAGAAAAATCTAGTTCTGGCATTATTATTATCATTATAATTAAATAAAGTAACTTTTACGAAGACATGTTTGCTAGATTTCGTGTGATAATGTCACAATTTTAAGATATCAGAAAATACCTTTTATGTTCTTAGTGTTTTCATGAGTGCCGCAATAACAATGGCTTTTCTATAGCCATGAAGATATTTTCCGTAGCTCTTAATTCCATTAACTAAGTCCTTTTATCAGAGACAAATATTATACCCATCTGTAAGCGAAGCCGATTGCCCTAATTTAATTATCTATCACGAGCATTAAATAATTAATTATATATATACCGTCCCACATTCTAGGCTATCTTTTAATTAGTTATGACTGACCTGGTCTAGTAATTGTGGAATTTGTTACCTAGGATCTACTTTTAGATGTAGCGGCCATCTTGGTCCTTAGTGAAAAAAAGATATGACAAGGCCAATTTTCACCAATCATTAACAGTTCATAAAAGACCACAGCTAGACTAGAGGTGTCCTCTACACAAGAGAAGTTAGCCATAATTAAATAAGGGCCAATTACCCCCCCTTCCCCCTCCCAAGTCTCCCTACATACACATCAACATTCCCGAAACCACCACAATCCTCAAATTCCCAATTCCCAAAAGGCCGGTAACGCACTTGTAACGCCTCCGGTGTTTCAGGTGTCCATGGGCGACACCGATTGCTTACCATCAGATGACCGTAAGCTCGCTTATCATAAAAAAAATTTGGGTTGGCGGTTTGTGTCTCTTAGTTTAAAATGATCAGCTTTATCAAAGAACTCTGTCCAACCTCTGTTAAATAAAATGCTTCTTACGAAACCGGCGGGAAGAAAAGGCGTTGTGACAATTATTATAATCTTCTCTGCCGCAACCACACGACCAAGAGCAAGACCAGTCTCGTCCAAACTATTTTGTACAAAAAGACACAATTGATATTTTTTGCGATTAAAAGGACCTTTATATGGAGATGAGTTCTGAATAACAGACACGTGTGGATTGTCAGTGTTCTCGCACGGGTTCACCCCCCGAGCCGACACACGTATTACATGGTTATGATATAATACTTGTGGGTAGTACATAGCGGCTTATGTACGTTTATTGTTATCGGCCGTTCGCAATGATGGTTCATAAATTGGATGTATTATTTTGTAGTTAATGATCATGTGTAGTATGTTTATTGCGTAATTAGTGTGTGCTGTGTAGTAATTAATACAAAAGTAATGTAATGGGGCCTACCGTAGTTTTGTTCACCAAATATCACTATTGTGAACCTCTTGTTCTTCGTCCAACAGGAAATTAGCTAGTGCCACACCACTGGACGTTCAATATTTGACAGCTGCTGTAATTGGACAAAAATACCTCTTCCGACATTTGCACCAATTGGTGAGAAAAGATACGGTAGCCCCCATTCTATGGCATAAGGTAGCAACTGAGCAGATCGATCACCCGATCTAATAAGTTCTTGACTAGTAATCTTCGCCGTAAAACTCAAAATGGAACGAGCAAATGATTCTTGAACGTACTGGCATACAAACAAAATTTTAATTAAGCATTTGACTTTCAAACGTACATTTTTGTACTCATTGGAGTAAATAACTTGGCTTTGTCCTACGATACGAATCCATGTACGAATTTCATTAATTCAAAATCATGTTGGTATGTAACAATGTAGAATGCTAGCTTAGCAACAAGTCAACCTAGTTTAACGCATCACTATGTTCATGAATCTCAAATATGTCCCTGTTTCAACATGAACAGTCGCACCTTGGGTTCCCTTAGTAGCAGCGAGCAGTGACTTGTAATGTATGCTCATTACGTTTGACTTACTTCGGCTAATTGTGGGGGTAACGACTGTGCCATTATCATAATGTGGTACCTACGTATGTGTGCTTGGGTAAAACAAGGTATTTCAAATTACTGTCTGTCTTAGTCTCCTAGTTTATATGTTGGACCTGGGGCATAACATTTTAAAGACTTCTACTTTAATTGAACGCAACTGTAGAATGTGACATTTCACATTACATAATATCTTCGCTTTTCCTCTTTAAAATAAACGTAATATTCAAAATGCAACTTCAATCCTTTCCTTTTGGAAATATAAGGTACACTACGTACTGTATATTGAACATATTCATGGTATTTGTGGATTGTCTTATTAATTTATCATTCGCAAACTCATGTTGACTTTGCAACGTGAACACAAGGTCGTTGACTTCAACCTCGGATCTTTACAATGTCCAAAATTAGTAACAGTAACTATGTTATAAGATAATAGGCCTTTCTATCATGGGAGTAACGTGACTGGTCAAAAGTAGATGTATCTATACGTTGATACCTCCCTAGGGTTTGTTCATTATACGCCTGTTGTCTGTACGGCCATTGAATCTAAATTGATCTGCTTATCGGCACCGGCACCGGCACCGGCCTGCTCTCAGCTCTCGCTAATTAATTAGTTTAAGCCGGTGATTACACTGCCAACTAAAACAATATTAATTAGTGTTTGGTTTATGTAACTTCTAACTATATTCTTTCATCTTTAATGAGAATCTGTTGGGAATTTTGTCAGTTTTTATTTTGTGCAAAGAGAAGGAGATTGTGATGTGTGTGAAATAGTTTTTTGTAGTTTGATAGGAGTGTCTGTAAAACCTTCAAAGATGATATCATGATGGACTGGTGATGTACTCATTATTATGAAGGTCACACTTTATTTGTAGTCTCCATTAATACGCGATAACTTGTGATAGCTCGTAGATACATAAAGTGGGCGCCGTCTGTCATGTCGCCGCTTTTGGTCGGTAATTGTACATATATATATAGGGCTCATTAAGTACGCAGGTTGAATTTTATAAGTATCATTTTAGGCACACGACATATAAGTAGGCCTGTTATTGATCAGACATACATGTCGACGAATGAGAATTACGCATTAATGCTAATTTATGTTATATTTGATTATGCCCAGTTCTAATTATGCGTCCCTTTGTAAGTATGATGTTTAGTTAATGTGAAACTAACCCATATCTCTCTTTGCAGGCCTTCAAATTGTTCAAGCGGAACAAGAGCCGTAAAAACACACGCAACCGCATCTCCCCGGAGCTGTCCCGCTCCCCGTCGTACAGCGGCACGGTGGACGCGCGTTCAGACATCGACATCCAGCGCTTCTGCGCGTGCAGAGCCTCTCTCCCACCTCTGCACATCTCCAGCGACTCCTATGAGAACAACTCCTACTACAGCAGCTACAACAGTTACAACAGCTCGAGGATCGACAGCTTGGAGAGCTATGGCACGAATGAATCCAACAGCGGCAGTGCTCGGTCAGACTCCGCATACGACTCGGCTAGGTCCAGCCCGGAGCACGCCAGGGTGTGCTACGCGACCGTCACCTACTTCAACGTGAATGACAGCGAGGACAGCAGCAGCATCCGCACGGAGTACACGCTGCTTGATGACACAGAGGCTGACCGCCTAGCCGAGCTGGATGACATGGAACACCTGGATGAGGACGAGCGGACACAGAACATGATCAATGAGAGCATCGAGCTAGTGAGCACGTTATGAAGTGAGCGCGATGGACACTGGCTTACAATATAATTTGAGTTTAGTTACGCTCGCTATGAAAGCGTTCCATTCAGGATTTGGAAGCGTGTGTGATACTCGGTGCGTGATCGATGTAGTGAAATTATTCAGTTTTGATAAGCGAGGACGATGAATTGATAATGTATTCGTATCTAGGGGACTTCCTTCTTGTGTATACCTACTATGTATTTATATATAGTAATCTGGCAACTCTAAGCTACGTTGTAGAACATAAGGATTATTGCTAAGTCGTTTTATGAATTTCTACCGACTTTTACTCTGAACGTCCTGTTACGTGTTTTAAAATTATAAATTGAAATTATTCCTTTTGAAATTACCAAATGATTGACGCAATTGGCTTTTACTGAAAGTCGTTATTAGTGGCCGCTCAGTGGGACAGACATTTTCCTTGCGATGATTTTATTGAAATATTTTCCTTAAAGTACTTCACGGTTATAATGAAATGATTTAAAGCGAAAAATGTTGAAATATTGGGAGAGTTTTCAATTTTGTGAAATTACATTATTTTTGTTGTGAGGAGATCTCTTGACGTGAGGATGATAACGATTTCGTTTCATGTTTCTTTGATGCTGCCTGTCAAGGCTGTGTGTACACTGTACAGTATTGTTGTTGAATTCGTTTACCTAGTCCACTTTGTGTTAAGGCTTGGAATCCCAAAATGCGAAGGCAGTCTTTTACGTAATATCCGTTGATACACGAATTAACTTGTACAAAAGAAAATAAAACTTTTGACGAAGTGCTTGAAGTTAATATCTTGTTTCGACTTTCTTTGACTTGGCCTTGTCATGATTTCAATTAATTTATAATATTAGTTATCAGAGCGAACAATATTCTGGAAAATTAATACACTAAAGTCGCAGTAGAGGTCGGTAGAAACCACAGGAATGTAATACATTTTCATTAGTTTCAATTTTGCTAGTAATATAAACTATAAAATGATGGAATACTCACTTTGACAAGTTTAATTACTGTTTTGTAAATAAATAGTTTAATATAACGTAATATTTCACAGAGTTGGATGTTTCTCTTTGTAAATTGGTTTCAGTGTCAATATTTATCGCGATACGAACAAACTATTCATGACTTTTGATTTTAGTTGTGTTTCAGTTTATGCTCAGTGTTTGTATTCGAATTTGTACTCGATTTCATTTTGATTTTGACGTCTTAACAAACTCTAGACATTAATGAGTTGTTTGAAGACATAGTCCAGTCAAAAGAGTATTTTTTGAATTACAATTCTTGAAATCGAAATTTTAATAATGTATTAATTGGACTATTTAATTTATCATTCCCTAAACCTGTAAACCAATATCTAATTTTAGACCTGTCCCTATGTAAACACCACGAAATAACAAAATATTGTCATTTGCACAAAATTGGATACGTTCAATATGTTTACCAAAGTAAATGTGATACTATATGTTTATGTAATACGTTTAAGATATTAAAATTGTATAGTTATATGTCTGTTGATCTCAATGGTGTAAATTTTAATAGTAAGGTGACGTCATTGGTGGCATTGCCATGCATTAGTGTTTAATTAATATCGGTGGCAACTAGTTTTTAGACGCCGTGACGCACGGAGTAGAGTATGAAACACTACTCATAAATTAGGATTAATAAAATTTAAAGTTTTTAATACTTAATGGCATTTTTCTTTGATTTCTCACCTCTTAATTAATTTTAATTGCAAGTTTGCATGTTGATTTTTTGCTGGAAATAATTAGGAGACTATTAAATTGTCTCTGAAAAAGGAAATTATTATTTTTAATGGATTCGTCTGTTTTTACGTATTTGCGTTAATTATGACTGCCTCGTTGGCCGAGTGGTCGCAAGTGCGACTACCGGGCAAGGGGTCTGCGGGTTCGATTCCCGGGTCGGGCAAAGTATTACTGGGTTTTAAAAAGTCTCAGTAGTAGCACGGAGTCTGGAATTGTGCCCGGTATATGGCAATAGGCTCGCCCCCTATTACATGGGACTCAAAACATAGTGAAAAGTGGGTGTTACATTGCACAGTGGCATAATGTGCACCTCTGCCTACCCCTTCGGGGATAAAAGGCGCGATGTTATGTTATGTCTATCCAAATAAAAATATTAATGTTCAAGTATGACAGTCGACCGCGAATATCGGGGTTCGATTTCCGAAATGAATGAAATATAAATAGATTTTTCATATATCTGAAAGGTTCGATTCATATTATGATATGCTAAAATCATCTATCGTGTAAAACTCATAAGATTTTTTTTTTTTTAGAAATGCTTTAACTGTTCACTAAAATACTAGTTTGAAACGCGGAGTTTGAAAGTGTGCCAGGAATATGGCAATAGGCTCACCCCCTATTACATGAAACTTGTCGCGGAGAACCTAACGGGTAACCGGGGCTCCGGCTCGACGTGCAGGAGAAGGAACGGGGTGGTTTTTAGTCAGTAAGAATTTGACACTCCCTTCCGCCTCACCCAGGCGGGAGCAGTCATTCGATGATTTTCCCCCCTTAAAAAAAAAAAAATACTTGAAACTTGTAACATAAATAGTGAAAAGTGGGTGTTACATTGTACAGTGGCATTTATGTGCCGTAATGTGCACCTCTGCTTACCCCTACGTGGATAAAAGGCGTGATGATGATTGATGCTTTAACTACATAACCTCGAAAACTAAATAAACAAAACAATTTCATTAAACAATAAAATTACGTAATATAAACAAGATAATTAAACAATATTCATAACCTCATCGTGGTCAGTGACCTTCGTGACGTCACAATACACGTCTCTTGCACTGATACGCCCCAAATACTGAGGCATCCTAGAATGACCTAGATTCACAGTCAGCCTTGTAACCTAGATTTTGGTAGACCCTGCTTCGTCCTACTTTGTACCTTTAATTTGATTGCGATGCCAATGATTTAAATATCTAAGATGTGACTGGAATCTAGAAGTGGAGCTGTCTTTTTTAATGAAAAATCTAGCTTTCTTCTAGCGGCTTAGCTTACCGTCCCGTGGGCTAAAAACGAGCCTATGTGTTGTTTCAGACCATTATCTATCCTCGTACATTACAGTGGCATTAAGTGCCGTAATGTGCACCTCTGCCTACCCTTTCGGGGATAAAAGGCATGATGTTATGTATGTATCTATCCTCGTTTCAAATTTGATCCCGATCCCTTTAGCCGTTTTGAGTGATTGAGTAACAAAAATATACACATACCCACAAAAATATACACATACCCACAAAAATATACACATACCCAATGATATTATAAAGAAGATATACTAAGCGGCGTCCAAAAATTGTTGCGTTCTTATTACAAATGTACTTAAATGTCATTTTCAACTACGTGCGACAGATAATACGGAAAGTATGGTACAGAAAGAGATAGCCAGTTCAGTGAGTCCCATGTGTTACAGTCACATATTTTATCGCTCACTATATTTATATTTGTGACTAACAATATTGTCTAAGTATTTCAAACACTATAATGCCTGTTAGTAATATTGTGAATTGATTTAGTTTTCGAACGTGGCAACACTATCCTTGTCGGGCATTCGCGCGGTTTTGTTTTTGACAGCAACAGATTAATTTTTGTAAAACAATATAAACAAGTGAATACAAATTATTTTTGAAGAAGTCTGAGTTTTAATTAAGATCACCATCCTTCTGAGCGTTTTAGCTCAGAAGTGGGATTACAACAAAACATATTGTTTTGTTACGCCCACAAGTTAACATCAAATACAAAGAAACGAGGAAGTTCTGAAGAGAATCGGATCGGAGCCTAGTGGTAGACTTCAAACACTCATAACACCTAGGAGCCCCATACTATTAACAAAGGGAGTCTATCGTGATACAAGGAACAGCAATGGTATGCAATAAAACCGAAGTCGTGTCCTCACACGAACGTCAAAACCAAGATCGAAGTCGAAAGTTTAAAACTGAAGCTGGACTAACTGTCATCGCTTTCAGAACATTGAGGTCAGCCACCACTAACGGTGATTTGTTATTACACCAGAATTTAAACCTTAGCTCACTCGAGATTTGATCAAGTCATGTCTAAAATATGTTTTTCTTTCTTTCATGAATTGCGCGAGAGGCTTTATATATTGGAGCGAGAATTGATGAGACAACGACGCCGCAATCTGAAGTCACATGATGTCTCTGGTGATCATCGACGGCATGTTTGCAAATCCAGTGTGATTCGTAGCTCCTTTGGAAATAACACCGAAAGCTTGAGTTCTCAGCAACCGAAGTTCATTGAGCTGCTAAGTTTTTGAAGAATTTATTAATGTTTTTAAGGGTAAAGATTATGAATGGTTTTTGGTAAGATATCTTTTGTTTTTAAAGATTTATTGTAACTGTATTTAATTTACAATGCAATTGCAATGTACTGTACCTAGACGTGATAGTGTCTACATGACTCATGAGCTTGAGCAGAGAAGAGCCGAGCATGAGAGTTATGTATGGCAAACCTTGTCAATTGGGTAGTGGAAGAATAGAGAAGCTATCCTTTGTCAAGCTACATTTAGATTATTATAGTGATAGTGTCTGCATGACTCATGAGCTTCAGCAGTGAAGAGCTGAGCATGAGAGTTATGTATGGCAAACCTTGTCAATTGGGTAGTGGAAGAATAGAGAAGCTATCCTTTGTCAAGCTACATTTAGATTATTATAGCGATAGTGTCTGCATGACTCATGAGCTTCAGCAGCGAAGAGCTGAGCATGAGAGTTATGTATGGCAAACCTTGTCAATTGGGTAGTGGAAGAATAGAGAAGCTATCCTTTGTCAAGCTACATTTAGATTATTATAGCGATAGTGTCTGCATGACTCATGAGCTTCAGCAGCGAAGAGCTGAGCATGAGAGTTATGTATGGCAAACCTTGTCAATTGGGTAGTGGAAGAATAGAGAAGCTATCCTTTGTCAAGCTACATTTAGATTATTATAGCGATAGTGTCTGCATGACTCATGAGCTTCAGCAGCGAAGAGCTGAGCATGAGAGTTATGTATGGCAAACCTTGTCAATTGGGTAGTGGAAGAATAGAGAAGCTATCCTTTGTCAAGCTACATTTAGATTATTATAGCGATAGTGTCTGCATGACTCATGAGCTTCAGCAGCGAAGAGCTGAGCATGAGAGTTATGTATGGCAAACCTTGTCAATTGGGTAGTGGAAGAATAGAGAAGCTATCCTTTGCCAAGCTACTTTGAGATTATAGGTGATGTGATTAATAATTTTATATTAATGAGACAGCATAGTGAAATAATAGAAATAGTTCTTATGTACTTTATTTATGTTTGTGTTAAAACAATTAGACACATGAAACCAATTGTTCAGTTAGATTTGAATGCTGTTGATGGTTGTTTACCTGTTTTTGTGTATTTTTTAAAAAAAAATTGACAAACCAGATGAAACTTTAGGGATTTTTTTTTTAAGAAAATGTTTAAATCTCACTTTAGTGAGTACAGTGTAGTAGGAAATAGAAGGACTAGTAATAATAGATATTTGCAAAGTTCTTCAACCTGGACCAGCCCTACATCCAAAATCATTGATAAAATTAATAAAAATCAATCAGGGAGACTTCAAACAAGGGGAATGCAATGTGTATTAAATGAAAAAAAAATAAAAAAAAAAATTGTCATATAAAGCTATAATGTCATAAGCCAATTAAAAAAATATTCTGAATGCAACTTTTTAGGGCATAACTCAAATTCATAAAAAAAAAACAAATTTGATAATGATAATGTTTCTAATAAAATTGTTACCAATAGTACAATGATTATAAGAGAAGTCTCCTAAAAGTATCTGTACATTATGACATAAATGATAAATATAGCAGAATACAGAGTAGATGTTCAAGTAAATGGTTAATGCTTGACAGTTTGATTTAGGTAGCCTATAAAATCGGTAGTCAGTGGGACACTGTTCAGAGACTTAGGCAGTATTTCCTGCCTTATATACAACTGTATGTATGTTTATGTAGGAGTAAATGTAGGAGGAACAGGTTAGAGGTAAATTATTATAAATATTCCAGTGTTCCTTGAACACAGTTTTACGGAACAACTTAATTTAATTTAAGAATAGTTAAGACAGCTACTGATTTAAGAACTGAAAAGATTGATAATTTGACATGAGGGGTGATTACATCAATTTTTAGTAGGGTTCCACTAAAAAATTGATGTAATTTCGAATCAGATGTAGGACTTAAAACAGTTACTGTTGATGCTCAAACGAATTATAGTGGTAGTATTTATTTTTGAGGTTCAATAAGGGGTGAACTTGACACTAAGGGAATATTGTTTATCGCTTTGTGAATACCGATGACCATAGAGTATGCTGTATTCTGATACAGACCTCAAGTTCTTAAACTATTCATTTTGTTAAACTGTCCATGTGTTAGTCTCCCGAGTTAGGACAATGTTGCATCAGAATCGAATTTTGGGTATGTTACAGATATAATAATTTGGATAATGAAAGTTTTTTTATTTATTTATAATTCATGGAGGACTAACAGCTTATAAAAATGGATAAAAATAACAATAGGCGTAGGTAACAATGAGCCAATAACAAGTCCTCACGTTTAGCATTTGGAATAAATTAAATAATATGGTGTGAGTACTATAAAAAATTAAAAATACATACATTCTGCGTAAATAAAAAAATAAATATTGAAACAGACCGTACAGACACTATGATTATAAACAGATCAAGAGAAACGATAAAAAAAAACTAAATATCTAGTGCTGCTTATAAAAAAATTTGAGGCTTAAGCACCTCTTTGCCGAGTTCACACTAGTTGTACACGGATCGAAGTCATATTCCTTACAAACATTGTTAAAGTGTCTGCTTGCACGCATAATGTAACTATTCTGCCTGTAGTTAGATAAGTAACGGGATACGTGTCAAGGTGGATTAAATCTAAATATTTTATTAGGTACATTAAATTTGATTTTTGATAATAGTTCTGGACTATCCACATTGCCGTTAAGAACTTTAAACAAGAATAGACAATCTGCAATATTGCGTCTATCTACCAATGGTAATAGATGGAATTTTCTACAGAGTTCAAGATAACGGGCAGACTGGTATGATATATTTTGGTGGAAACAGAGATATTTTATAAAACGTTTTTGAATGTTTTCCACGCGGTCAATATATTTCTGATATCTTCTTCGTCGTATCGTTTTGGTGGTTCTATCAAGATGGGAGATGGACTTGCTGTGATTGGAAAAGATAAATGCCGCGTTATGTTATCGAAGTACGGCTATTGTTGTTTGACAGGGTTGCATGATTTGGTCTGTGCGTCTGTGGCTGGGATCTATTTGACTGACTCAACGCTGCTCGTGTGCAGGCCTTGCCAACTCTCACATTCCGAACTTGCTTGTGTCCGAGGTTTGTCTTGGTCGCCGTGCAGGATGAGACCAATGTCCGCTTTCACGAATAGAGGATTTACTTGATTAGCTTTCAATATATTCGCCTTTCACGGCACTTGACTTCGTGTTTGGTTCTTGTCAATACGAGTGGAGTCATGTGCCCTTTGGACTGGCAAACGCAACTTAAAAGTACCTTTGCCATTGTGTTTGACTGTGATACGTTGGCAGGTCCTCAAAATCAACCATGGTGATGTGGGTCATTATGATTTTGAGAAGACTGTGCAAAGAGTCGAATCCATATGTTAGTTTCCTGTGATGAGGAAGACAGAAGGTATGTGTCAGCGTACTTGGAGTGGACGCACCGTTGGGTTCCGATAATGGGCGCTGGATGTCGCGCTGAATACCATACGCGCTGATCATCTCGGGCTATTTCCGCGCGGCGAGCATGGTGGCATGTGTGTTGTGGAAATTGTGGATCCCTTCGTAAATGTGTGTGTATTTGTCTTCGGTCTATGGTACGGAATCCAAGCCAAGCATTAAAGTTTTTGGAAGCGTATTTGGTTTGTTTGGATCTTCGTCTGGGTTGATTGCTGATGTGGGTGCCAGTGTTATCAGTAAGGGATTTGGGACGTTTGTTAGGCCCATTGAGGCGGGACATGTGCATGGCTCGGTCGCGGCTCCGCGTCCCGGCGGACGGGTCGAGCGATGCAGTTGTTTGTTGTTGTAGTTAAAAGCAATGACACCGTTTGAGACCCCTACTGTCTGACGTTCATTTAGCCATAAATGCCTCGATACATAAAGTCGCGAAACGGTCACTAATGACCAACCGAATGACTGATTGGGCGGAAAAATTAGGCAATCCATCGCAATTGTAATAATGTCACTGAAGCGATTTTAAAACTGTGTTTTAAAGTGGGACTTGTATAGCAAATTAGGACAGGTGCTAGTGATCGCACTAAAGAATAAGGATCGATTTCAAGATAAAATAAGGATAGATTTGACAGATATCAAAGGTCATCAATGGAATATAGAGTTAGAGGTCTGATAATGATAGTAAGAGTTATTGTTCGGGGGTCAGGGAAGTCGAAGAAGCTAGAATCCAAATGCCATGGGCCGTACCAAATAAAAAGGTTTATACCCAATGACAAGTTCCTTACAGTAAACACACCGCCTTTGTAGAAGGAATATAATTATATATAAGAAAATGAAAATGTATATATAATGTACTAGCTATTGATAAAATGAACCCCTAGATGAGTTTTGATGCACAGACATATTCCTTTATTTATGAATGTACAGATTAAAAAAAATATAATAGATGGTTACATTTATTAATGATGGTTATTTGGTGAATGAATCTCAGTTGAGAGAATAATTTGGTTTGTGGGTAATTCACATTTATTGTTATATAGTATTGATGGTTATTCACTTGAGTGTATTTACTAATGTTTAATCATTGCACAGAGCTTAAGTTAGCTTCCACTGAGCATGAGCACACTTTGCATATAACTCATCTTTTGTTGATTTGAGCCTAGCATGAGAATGATTATATGAACAGTAAGGGTTGTTTTTACAACACAGCTTGGTTAGATGAGAGGTGGACATGAATGATACGACCTGGAGGGTCGTAGCACAGAGTAACACAGCGAAACAAATTGGTGGTGAAGTGAAAGTGGAGTAACCTCCTTTTGTTAAGCTGTTATAGCGTATAGTTAAGTTGATTTAATGTAAAATTTAATGATCAGTTTGAATTTATATTTGCTAAATGTTAAAACTGATGAACCAACAAAATTATGTAACCAGAGAATTGTATTGTGAACCTGATTGAAAAAGAGTAACCTATGGAGTTTCTTGCTCGTTCTTCTCCATAGGAGTCTACACCTTGGAATGAGCAAATAGCTTCACTTTTAATTTTTCTGTTGCCGTTCAAAAGTGAAATGAATGATTTTGCCTAAAACAATTACGGCCTTAACGAAGGGACTCGTCAATGAGTCGGATGGCCGACTGTTACAGTCACATATTTTATCGCTCACTATATTTATATTTGTGACTAACAATATTGTCTAAGTATTTCAAACACTATAATGCCTGTTAGTAATATTGTGAATTGATTTAGTTTTCGAACGTGGCAACACTATCCTTGTCGGGCATTCGCGCGGTTTTGTTTTTGACAGCAACAGATTAATTTTTGTAAAACAATATAAACAAGTGAATACAAATTATTTTTGAAGAAGTCTGAGTTTTAATTAAGATCACCATCCTTCTGAGCGTTTTACATGTAATAGAGGTTGGGTCTAGTGATCACAATGTCACGGACTCCGTGCTACTACTGAGAAACTTTCGACAATGTATAACAACTTCAGTAGTACATTGCAAGACTCAGTAATGAAATCTGAGACAGTCAGCATATATTGGTACATATTTGTATAAAATTCAATACAATCGATGCAAACTACAAGGTAACAACCACTTTAAAATTCAAGTGTAACAAATTGTGTAAATTACTTTCAACATAACATAACATCACGCCTTTTATCCCCGAAGGGGTAGGCAGAGGTGCACATTATACCACTGTACAATGTAACACCCACTTTTCACTATTTATGTTATGAGTCCCATGTAATAGGGGGTGAGCCTATTGCCATATACCGGGCACAATTCCAGACTTCGTGCTATTACTGAGATTTTTTTAAAAACCCAGTAATACTTTGCTCGACCCGGAAATCGAACCCGAGACCCCTTGCCCGGCAGTCGCACTTGCGACCACTCGGCCAACGAGGCAGCCTTTTAACACTTTTTCAATCATTAATTTAAATAACTTGTTTTTTCGTACACGTCAACAATTACATCGTGAAGACACGAGACAATGGGTCTGCCGGTAGGGGGCGCTAAGGGACATAATAGGCCCTTTTGGCCCATGTAGAGAGGGCCTATTTATTGGACCACAATGGACTGAACAAACAGGTTCCAGAATTACCCACTAATGGACGTATAAAGTTACGCTTAACAGAAGAGGAACCTTTGTCACATTAGCGATCGGTAAATAATTAAATAGGTAGATAAGAATGTGTATGTGTGGCTAACAAGACAAAAGAAAGAGGGGTGCTTTAATTTCCGGGTTGAAGGCAAAAATATATCTTCTCATTTTTTCTGGTGTATAATTATAGGTATTTATTATACGTAAAAACGCGATATCACTCACAGATTGGTCCACCCATAAACTATTGAGTTTCGTCATACGTAATTAAATTATTATAACACCAGTTACAAAACGTCCACTGCCAAAAAATAAGCCTAATCAGTTGAATTACAATAACTTAACGACTTTGGAATTAGAAATACTAAATCAAATCAGAATCTGCAAGAGTCTTTAAACATTCACTAAGCAAACAAATAGATTTTAGTAATCAACCAATAGACAAATCTTTCAAAAACAATACAAAAGTTGCACAGTATGACCTAATTAAGTACCTATCAAACAAAGCAAGCGGTGTCACTTGCACCAACTACATCGATCAGTATCGAAGGACGCTGTAATTTTAATGTGGCACACCGCAGCACATGAATATATCATTACAGTGGCAGTACGAAGCCAGGGCAGATTCTATCGATCGGTTCATCGGTCATCCAGTTAGGTCAAACGAATTACAATGACATCTATTGTTGATATGATTCTTACTTATAATATTCTCCATTTTATGTGAGTCAGCACTATTTTAAGTCGAAATAGTATCGAATAAAAGGCAATATGCAATGAGACTTAGTCTTTATTAGACACATGGAACTCATGACATAACTGGCTTAAAGAAAATGTTGCATTTATTATGAGCTTACACAAGTTCCGAGGTCGAAAATAAATTAGTTATGTATCTACATATGTAAGTTGTCATTATACCATTAAAAATACTAAACTTAGGTATAGTATTTTTTACGTGTTAATCCGGTAAATGAGCAGACGGATCAGCTGATGGTAAGCAATCGGCGCCGCCCATGGACACCTGAAACACCAGAGGCGTTTCAAGTGCGTTACCGGCTTTTGGGGATTAGGGTTTTCAGGATTGTTGGGGATTCAGGGATTGGGGAGATTGGGGAAGAGTGGAGGGGGAGTAATTGGGCCTCCAGTAACCTCACGCACACGACGAAACACGACATAAACGTTGTTTCACGTCGATTTTCTGTGAGGCTGTGGTAATCGATCCGGTTGACACTTGTTTAAGTGAATTTTATTATGTCCTTCTCTGTTCTGCTGTTGTATGAACTACAATAATCTGAAACATCAAAATGATTAGTTGTGAAAATATAACTTAAAGCGGTAACAAACAACAACCATACTTTAACATTTATAAAAGTAGTAAGTAGGATTTAAAATTCAAACTGATATGTGGTCACACGTCGCTTTCATCCGCTCAAATTTTTCAGACAAATTAATTCCGAATCAGGGATTTTAATTGCAATTTAATCCTGAACTTTTTGTTTGGTGGTTCAAACTCCGGAGCGCTAACAAAGTTTGGCCTGACCGTGGTCTGCGACGGATTTAGATCCACCCACTCACATGGGCTCATAAATGCTAATTAAATTATGTATTTATATAGGATAATGTTAATTTGTATAAACTGGGTTGGATAAATGTTATGACATCACACTTCATAAAACATTTAGGCACTGAAAGGAAATTGGGTTTGTTTTCGCTATTTTGATTACGTTCTAAGGTTCAAGCAACTGTCGTTCTAGTTAATCGAAGGTTATTAGTTATAGACGTCAAGCATATACACACCCATATTGCCAAATATTATGATGCAACTTTCCAAACTTTGCATCTATACACGTCATAGTCTTATGAAATTATGTTAATATTCAGCGTTACAATATTAAAATCTAAATTTAATTAATTGCACTGAGAGATCGAACTATTAATCTCATAACCAGTAGTCACAATGGTATCAACTGAACAATAATGTTATAGTATGTCTAAATTAGAATTTATTTATTTAAATAGGTATACCGATAGCTTCTGTATGCATAGCATTAAGTGATATGAAAGTAACATTAAGTATTTAGGATTATACAGTCGCCAATTATAGGTTAACCAACATTTAATTACTGAAGTGATAATAAAAACTATAGATACAAAAATGAACGAGAACAATAAAATTTTAGTTACTAAAAAGAAACTACTACTATCGAAATAAACAATCTTATTTTAGAATTGTATGAATAACAAAACCCTAACTTATCTTTTCGTTCAAAAGATAAGAAGAGCCAGAAGTAATCCCAGTTCATCGCAGAACAAAGGAAGCTTGTAGTTGACAGGGAACTTTCAGAGCTGAAAAGTCACAAAAGCTGAAATCTTCAGTTGTCCAAACAGGTTCAAACATGTTCTATCTATCTAAGATGTAACTAACTTTCAGGAGTGGTTCGTCTCAGTGTAGTTAGTTTGTCTTTCAGGAGTTTCAGGCAGGTGAAGTTTATACCTGTCGACCCTTATTAAACTTAGGCGATAGATAAGTAATTACTTCGGTTAACTCTAACCTCTTGATTAATTTTCAGGTTACTGGTAAATTTAACTTTTAATCAGTATGATCCACTTTATGACTAGTTTTTGAGAAATTCCTGATTAATTTTGAACGTTAAATTATTTGGTTTTAATTTTCTTTTTAGTACGGCTTCATAAACTTATACAGGGCTCTGCGAGACTCATTATAAAATATTTTTTCGCATAGTCACGTGGTTAGTCACAATGAGCTTTATACTTATATTGTTATTGACTAAAATCGAACCAGTTTGCAGCTTATCTCCACACAGGAAATATTTCAACAAATATTTTTACAATGCACGTTGTTAATGATCATTGCACATCGGTAAATAGTTTTGTTCCAACATAAATCTCTATTCTTTTTAACGTTAAAAGTATTCGCTTTGGCAAAATATTATTGTCATTTTGTATGGAGTTCTAATACTGTGAAAGAAAACCTGAAATACTTGTTTTTGGACTAACAGAGGGACCGTGGAGGACAACTAAGGGGTCAGCAGACATTGGTCACTAGCTTATTATCTGGTTTGTATTGGATTTTTTGTACTTTCGCCTTTTGTTCACTTGTGTAGAGGGAAATAATATTGCAAATACTGTTTTGTTAAAGTATATAATTATGGAATGTTGTGTACATTATATAGTAAAGTTTATACTCTTAAATATGTAATAGGTTCATGGTATCTTTTAAGTAAAGTTGATATTTAAGTTAAGTATGTTTAAATGCAATGTGATATCATTATTAATACCAAATTTACCTCAGTAGAGTTCGATATAAAAATATAATAAAAAACATGTAGACAGGGATAGTAAACTGTATACAACAGGGTACCGCAAAGCAAATACGAATTCTCATAAGTAGCTAACAAAAGATGGTAGAAATAGTTCGGCACGGGACTCGGGTCACGTCGCATAGTTTCACCCACACACACACACTCACCGCTACCGGTACATTCTACTTGATATGATCCCCGTGAGAGAGCCCTGTGTTTGTGGAAAAAGTTTTACACATTTCATATGTAGAAAGTAGGTTAATTGCAACCTTGGTTTGTTAATACTATAATTACTAAAGCTATCCTACATTTTAACTAAAAATTGCGGGTAACTCACGTGAATATACTGAGAAAAGCTCTACTAGTTTCGAACCACAGAGGGGTTCTTCCTCATGAGCAGCGTGTGCGGTCACGGCGATGTCGCGCAGCTTACGTAAGTACGTGAGTAACCTGCGATTTTTACTTAATTTACTATGTCTCACGATAGTTATTATAGAAACATATCCTACATTTTATAAAAACTGTTTCGTTTGTGACACAGTTACCAATGCATAGGTGAAAGGCGCTTCCCACCGAATTATCTGGACGTCATTGGGTAGACTGATATGATGATGTATTTTTGATTAGAATTTCTTCTCGAGTCGAATAAAATATTATTGAGATTATCAACTCAAAATCACCATATCAGAGCCACCACAATGTCGTGGTGGCCCGGAGGTTTAAGACGCTGGCTTCTAATGCATGAGAATGCGGGTTCGAAACCTACCAACGGCAAGTATCAATGTGACTTTTTCCGAGTTACTACTTACTTACTAGTGCTTTCTAAGACTATTTAGATACCACTGACAAACGGTGAAGGAAAACATCGTGAGGAAACCTGGGCTTATAATTTCTAATTATAAGTTTGTAATCGCCAACCCGCATTGAGCAAGCGTGGTGATTAATGCTCAAACCTTCTCCGTGTGAGAAGAGGCTTTGCTAAGCAGTGGGCATTTATAGACTGTTGATGAACTCAAAATCATATCTGAGTCAATATATAACTTTTATCCCAGATTTAGCAACACCTGAATTTTAGTAAATGCTTAATTAGCCTGAGTTTTTTAGAGGCTGAAGGCAACAGCGCGTTATTTTAACTGAAGCGTGATGTTTGACGGTCGTATTTGCGTTCACCTCGGACCTTAATAAATTAAAAAGGTTACAATATTGTTTTAACGTGGAGTAAAAACATTTGATCGTTCTATTTACTTTAGTTCTAGTTACGGCGACTTGATTTAATTATGTTATTTCTTAAAGTTAAACTAAAAGTCAGATTAAATATCTAGACTGCCTCGTTGGCTGAGTAGTCGCAAGTGCGACTGGCGGGCAAGGGGTCTTGGGTTCGATTCCCGGATCAGGCAAAGTATTGCTGGGTTTTTTTATAAAATTCTCAGTAGTAGCCCGGAGTCTGCAATTGTGCCCGGTATATGGAAATAGGCTCACCCCCTTTTACATGGGACTCATGACATACATAGTGGAAAGTGGTTGTTACACTGTACAGTGGCATAATGTGCACCTCTTATGTTATTAAATATCTATTATTTGTAGTGTAGTTTATATTTAGGAGTATCTTAAGATGTCAAAACATCGGACGCGACCTTGAAACGTCTCCTTAGGGTAGAGGAGTTGCTGAAGAGGCCTTCAGCACTAGTTTCAAAGGGATCATTAATACAAAGCAAATCCTCAGTATCTGACAAATTTCCCCGAACTCTCAGACGTTCAGAGAAATGGATTCGTGTAATATTTGTTTTCCTTGAAGATATGGGTAAATAGAGATGTGTAAACATTCCCAAATAATGCTTCGTACCTATGACGATAGGAGCTCGTTATAAGGGACAAGTTTATTGTTACCCTAATGGCATGTTAATAGATACTGGTAGAAAGAAAAGACGAAAGTATTCAATGAAATAAATTTTACTTATGATCCATTAGTTATGCAGCCCTACTGAGCTAAAAGCATGACATTATTATAAGCATTATTATAAACACACAATTAAAAACAATTCTTGAGTCGTTCGACACGTATTTTTTATTTTCTTGTATTAAGTTGCAATACTTTGATAAAATGGCGCTAAGTTTAGGAGTGGGAGGTCGTTACGTCATAACGTGCTACAAAATATGGCACGCTGTGACGTCACACGATATTTCAAACTAGTATATCGTCGAAACTATTTAATTTTGTGAGAAAAGAAAAAATACGTGTCTAAAGTTTTATATTAATTTACCAGACGGACATTAAAATAATTTAGGAAACTACCTTATTAATGTTGTTATGGGTCATATGATTTAGATTGTTTCAAATCTATCCTCACAATTCCGTGCCTGTTCTATATGATATATCATATAACATCAACATGACGTTGGCACGTTTAGTCCCCAGTTCCTACCTCCACGTCCCGAGGCCAGTTGGTTTCAATTACTTTTCAATTTCGATTACGTATTGAATCACGCGTCTCCAAATTTTTCCCGCAAATCCCGTGTTGCGTAAAATTCGTGTAGTGACGTCATTTGTCGCCGTGTTTGTAATTAAAGTGAAATAAAATTTAGTGAAGTGATTCGTAGTAGTGAAAATACGCATTTTGGGTGCTATGAGGGAAGGTCACGGGCGGTGCTCATGCTTCTTAGTACTTACTAAAGTATTTATTTAGTTAGAAATACTAACTACTAACTACTACTAATAGAAGACACGTTTTTAATATGCGTGTTGGATATTCATCGTCATCATCATCATATCAGCCACAGGACGTCCACTGCTGAACATAGACCTCCCCCAATGACTTCTAAATAAGCTGGTTGAAAGCGACCAATGTCCAGCATCCACTAGATATGCATAAAAACTAAATTAATTTGACGATGTGAGGTTCTTATT